AGACAGGCTGCGCCGTTGAGAAAGAAAGGGGATTTTGCATCTGCAACGCAAAAATCTTGAAGTGGGTCAGGGTCTGGTTCAGCCAGTCCCGTTAGAAGAGCTAGGCCTAGGAATAGTTGAAGAAAGAGGGAACCGATGCTCATGCTGACCTCCTTTTGATGAGGTTTTAGGAATAGGAGAGTTTGTGGAACTGTGATGTGAATTTCCAAAAGCAAACACAAGTAATATATAGTTGATTTTAGACAGTGATGTTTTATGTAGAATTGATATTTGTTTTTTCATCTTTTGACAGGAGATTGAGTAGCTTAAGAGGCATCAGACGAGGAAAAAACAAGGCAAGTTAAAAGGATCTGCGACAGAGCCCACAAGACCCAAATTATTGGATGTGTCCAAAACTGACAGGAACGCTGTCATCTGTGTGTTTTTGGCTCCTTTTCTGCTCTATCAGTGTCAACCATTTCTTCTCTCTGGAAATGAGTTCTGTGAGTAGAAATAGCAAAGTGAAATGGAAGATTGGAACCGTTTGATGTCATTTTGTTCCTTTCTTTGTCAATTGACAATAATGTGGTAGAGTGAGAGTGGGTGTGGCACAGATCGTTTTAGTTCAACAAATGGAATCAAAGGGTCCACATATCACAACCACAACTGTCCTAAGGCAGACTTGATATTTAATTCAGCAAGCAAAGCAAACCTGTCAACTTGCCGGTTTCTCACAAGCACTCCCTTCCCACTTTACTTCACCACTTTCCAATGTGGGCCCTGCCTTACCCATCTACTATTTCATTTTTCAACCCTCATCTCTCATCACTCTTCCTATGAAATTTTGACTGCAAATTTTCGTTGGTACGTATTATCATTAAAAATTTGTCGAGATTTGTTGTTGCATCTGCCCTTTTGCTTACTCAATGTTCCCAACATTTCTTTTTTGTTCAATCTCATTACTGGTCCAACTAATCTTTTAACCAAATTGTCATATCTCCACTCTCACACAGTACCTTAAAACAACTCTTTTCTCTTTTTTCAACTTTTTCTTCCACTTGAAATAGTAATCATGCACTAATCAGAAAGTCCCAAAGTTAAAATCATCTTTGAAATGTAATATATGGGTTATCTTCACTTTTGATTGCCTTTTCTTCTCTGTTTTTGTTTTTTTGATAATTGAGTTTATTATTTGAGACTTTCCACAAGTACAAGAAACAGACAAAGATTGCCATTTTACCATGAAAAGGCGATTTTGATAATAGTAGGAAGTGTAAGAACTCAATTATGCAGACACGAGCACGTGCCCCCATTATTCTTTTCTTCTTAGTTCTTACATTTGGTACCATTTTTCAAGGCTTCTTTTTGTCTTTATTCCGAATTGCTTATTCTTTGGGTCTTTTCAGTGTGTGATCCAATGGATTAATGAGGCTGCCCATGCCAGCTGCCAGGCGATTCTGTGCTTAAAGTTTGTGTCTTGATGCGGTAGCTTTGTGGTAATTCAAGTTCCAGTCCCCTGGTCTTTTGAGAATTTAATGGGTGAATCAATAGTAGATGCTTCGAATAAAGAAGTTAAGGTACACGAGTTTTGTCCTTTCGATCTGGGAAAAAGTTGGCCCATTTGTTTTTAATTCACCTTCCATTATTGTTTCTCGAATTTAATTTATTTGTCTTAGATTGTTGATTGAATATGCACTTCATAATTGCTGCTTTTTTCGTTTTTGGGTGTTGCTATGAGTTGTCATTCTGTTTGTTGCTCCAGAATATGCTTCAATTTTGGTTTTTTATGTCATGTAAATAGATTGGGGAGATGGTTTCTTCAAATCCTGCTCTCGAAGTGTCAGTCTCGTTTGGTAGATTTGAGAATGATTCGCTTTCTTGGGAGAAATGGTCATCTTTCTCGCCAAATAAGTACTTGGAGGAGGTTGAGAAGTGTGCAACTCCCGGATCAGTTGCTAAGAAAAAGGCTTACTTTGAAGAACATTACAGGAAGATTGCTGCAAGAAAAACTGAGCTACTGGCTCAGGAGAAGCCAATGGAAAGTAAACCCTTTAACTCAGATGATCAGAATTGTGGAGATCTAGTTGGTAAATCTAATGGTCAGTGCTCCAATGAAGGAGATAAGCAAGAAACTAACGGGGTAAGTGAGGTGAGTGACACCCACTTTGATGAGCACAATAAGGAGCCTGAAATTGCCATCAAATGTCAAAACTCATCAGTTGAGGGGGTGAAAGAGGAAATAGATAGCAGAGTGGAGAGTCAAGTGATAGAGAAAATAGATAGCAGAGTAGAAAGTCAAGAGAAAGAGGAAATGGATAGCACAGTGGAAAGTCCAAAGTTAATCAAATCGGAAGAAACCGCCCCAGAAGAAGCCGTTTGGGTAAAAGGAGTGGAAACTCTTCCCAAGGGGTCTCAAGATGAAAAGGAGTTACCACAGAACTCAGAAAAAGACATAAAAGACACTCCAAAGATCAAACATAAGAACCTAAAGTTGGGTCATTCGGCAAAATCTGATAAGGTGAGTTCATATTTTTGATCTGATTTATTATACGGAAAGCCTGACTACATTGAACTTGTTGTGTATATCTTCCAATTCTGGCATTTGATGCCTTCTTATCTCATTTTGCTTGTCTAGATTACACCAGCAAATAAGGAGAGAAATGAGACAAGGATAAAGAAGAAACCCGCATCCCCTGTGACTAAAACACCACAATTTTCTACGCCTAGAGCATCAAAGCCAACATCAACTCCTACTACATTGTCTGCATCTAGAACTCCATCAAAAACAAAGACTACTTCATCTTATTCTTTACCAAAGACCAAGATTCCTTCCATGGGAGAACGCAAGAAAGTGATTCCTAGATCCTTGCACATGTCCCTTAGTTTGGGTCCCTCAGGTTCTGGACTGGCTTCCCTTCCTGCAACAAGAAAATCTTTAATTATGGAAAAAATGGGGGATAAGGACATTGTCAAACGAGCGTTTAAGACATTTCAGAGTAATTATCGCCAATTGAAACCTTCCAGTCAGGAACAATCTGCAGCACTGAAACAGGTTATTGTGTTATCATTTCAATCCATAAGGTCTACCTGACATCTCTATTTTCTACAAAAATTTACATTCGTGGAACTTTTCTTTCCATTTTTCTCTGGTAGGTGCCTGCGAAGGGGAGAGAACCAAGAGTTTCCACTTTGATGACTCCCCAAAAGGAGAATGGAGGGTAAGGTTTTGACTTTAAGGACTTCAGCTGACAACTGCATATAATGCATACTTTGCATCTGTAAATTTGCTGGCTAGTTGAGTCCTGATATAGATTTGATGTTGGATATGGACAATATATAGGTATTTGCCATCTTTTTCTACTTTGGATAGCTAGGTATCTGCTATCATCTATCACATTAACAGTGGACCTATTTTCTGAAGCTTACACTATTTCCACTTTCAAAACTAACATTAATCGGGTAATGACTGTGGAAAATATGAAAAAGCAATCATTGAGCATGTTAGAACTCAAATATCCTACGGAGGATGCACTGATTTTAGGTCTTAGGCAATTTAGTATATTAGCCATAGACCTGTTAGAATTGATTGTCACTTTCGTCTTCGACTTCACTTCTTAAGTGCTACTTCTAGTTATTGTTTAGCGGATTAGCTCATATTTGAAGTTAATCAATCCTCATAGCTGAAAGTGTCACAGTATTTGCTCATAATTGAAGGGAGTTTGAAAGAGAGATATTGTTCCATAGTTATTTTTGTAAAAGTGCATATTTGAAAGGTAAGAGGCTTGTGCTAAGTTGTTTTTCTTAGGACTGTGAGACGGTCGGTTGGGACCGCCCAACCGACCACCACCGTCGGTTGTTCCAATCGGTCTCGCGGTTGATCGGCTCGGTCGTCGGAGGGACTCCTTTCCCCCGAACCGACCGAAAAACTGAGGAACCCAGGCCCCCTCCCCGCGACCTCACTGCTTCCCCCCTCCCGAGTCCTGACCTGATTCCCCCCCCACCCGAGTCCACCGACCTAACGAAATTCCCCTCTCCTCCCGCGAGTCCCCACCTGATTCCCCCACCTGAGTCCGCACCTAACGAAATTCTCCCCCCCCCCCCTCCTAGGACTGTGCGACGGTCGGTTGGGTTGTAACCGACCGAAACCGACATATACATTATATGCGGTTTGGTCGGTTATATTGTAATAATTTTGGTCGGTTTTTGGTTAAACCGCACCGAAACGGCAAACCCGACGCCGCGCACCCTAGTTTTTCTTCTATCAGTTATGTTTCTTCTTTTCTAACTGGAGTATTGATCGTCATATCATCACCAAGTTTCGTCATTTCTGTCAATCCTGTTTTCCTCCCTCCCTCCTTCTCTGCATCTTTCCTTTATGAGCTGAAAGAACAAAAGGCAAAAAAAGAGTCGGGGGTGTAGTGGGGATTGCAGGAATTAACTGTTGTGAAAAAAAAAAAAAAGAAACAACAGATAAACAACAGATGGTCTTTCATTTAATATGTGCTCTGTTATGGAGCACTAAAAACAGAGACTTAACAACAGCTTACACGCACTATATTACAAACAGAACTTAAACAAGCAATTACATCAGAAGATTAACATAACAACACTTGTTCTTTTGAGATTAACAAGTGTAAAACACCAGAAATGGATCCCATGCATACTACCACGTTGAGTCTTCAAACCAGCAAAAAAACATGCACTGTGGGGCAGGAGGTCCAAGTGGATTTCCACATGTCACAAGGTCCACTTGGCAAAGCAAGCATTAACTAGTTTTTAGTTGGATAACCGATATTTAACCAATTGGACCATATCACTTTAAATGAATATTCTTGTTAGGAAACTGATACTTCAAGTACAATTAGCCTCTTTATGGCCTTAAATTTGCAAGTCTGCATGAACTTGCCTTAATTTAAATTCGTATTCTCAATTATTCCCCTTCTTTCTGAGGAAATGGGGATTATTCTTAAAATATTATCCATCAATACTTATAAGCAGAAGTTATGCATGTGTCTAAAAGCATCCATCATCTTGAAAAATTCTTAATTGTTGCATTGGTTGATTCGTGACAGGTCTCCTAGAGTTAGTGGTATGGAGAAAAAGAATGCTAAGGCTGCTCCATCTTATTTTGGCTTGAAAACTGATGAAAGGGAAGAAAGGAGAAAGGAGGTATGCATTGAAGACTCCTTGCTCTAACCTTTTGTATCACATACACAATTTTTCTTGACATTGAGTGCATTGTCTGTCTATGGTTAGAATCTCAGCATCTCATATTCTTCATTTCAGTTTTCCAAGAAATTGGAAGGAAAACCCAATGGTAGAGAAGCAGAGAGAAAATATCCTCAGAAAAAATCAAAGGTATCATTAATTTTCATTTGTGAGGACAGGTCTTTTCATTATTGTAATCAACTAGACATGGCTGCACATGCTCATAAACTCTCATAATTAATCAAGCATAATATAAGATAGAAATCTGACGGGTACTTTGGTTGTCAGATTCTAAGAGAGAGAAAATGTCATCACTCTGGAGAATATAATTACTGGCATATCAGTACCTAATTTAGACAATGGGCTTTGCTCACACTATATGGTTGACACAGGATAACAGAGATGCAGAGATCAAAAAATTAAGGCAGAGCCTTAATTTTAAAGCTACACCCCTGCCGGGTTTTTATCAGAGAACATCAAAAAGCACTCTTGATAAGGTATTTCCTGCTGTTGTTTCCTTGTGTTCAATTGCACATAGTTCAATTTTGATCCACATTCCGGCATGAAATGTTTGATGCCAATCACTGTAAAGCATTCTTGTCTATCATCTGCTGAGGCAGATGTATAAACTCCATACAATTTTCCTTTCATTTTGGTCCAAAAATAGTTTGTTGATGCCAATATTTACGTAACTTTAATATTTGAATAATGCATGTACTTCTGTTAATATATATTTTTGTTATTTTAATTGCAATGCATAATGTGGAATTCTTTGTAATTGCAATGGAATACTCAACTTTTAAGTTGAGGTACTACCACTGATACTTAAATTATAGCCAGTTCTGGTAGAGGTAGTGATACCTATGGTTGTATTGCTCTGCTGTTTTCAGCTTGGTGTCTGTCTCGTGTTGGGCACCATTATGAGTGTATTGTAGGGCATAATGAATGTGATTACAATCACTCTTAACCTCATCATGGCAATTTAATAACTTTGGAAGTTGTACTGGAACTTTCTAAAAGATCATAATCATTTTATGCCATATATCCTTCAGTAATTTACTCCATCGAATCTCGGTTCAGAATTTGTTTCAAGGCTTTTATTTTAGCTTTGATTATTATTGTTTTAAATATCTTACGTATAAATTTTAGACTCTACTATTTAGCAGTCCTGCAAAAGCTGGTTTCCTTAGTCTTAACATGTGTCCTTTCATGTCTGTAATTTTACAGATAGGTACCAAGAGTGACATCCATCGGTGCCTGGCTTCCTTGGGTTAACGAACCATGCATCTTTTAAAAACACGCAGGAAAAATCAAGAATCTTTAATATGAACAAAGGTCAGAAAAGAGACGTAAGAAATACATCATCTCGCTGGGCAACGAAAGGTACATTTGTAGGCATTGTTTTCCATCGAGGAGCCAGGGCATGTATATTATTGGCTTATTGCTGACGCGTCTAGAATCTGTCATTGATGAGTCACATGCTGTGTACTTGGATGCCTCAATCTTGTCCTCAAGGTGGGGTACGTGAATAATGGTGCAGGAGATAACAGAAGAGGTTGGGGCTTTCTCAGTCTTGATGAACTGTTACTTCCCTCACCTTTCCCTGCCATGTATATGTAGAAAAATATATTGTAGCTATTCAAATGCACAATGAACATTTTAATAGTATGCTAAAAGAGATTAGAGTTGTGTTTTATTAAATCTCTATCTCTGTGATTGCAATTTAGTCTTAGTCATTAAATGTGGATAGAAAGAACCCTGATTGACAACTAAGATTGAATCAACCGGTTTCAAGTACCAGCAGGGGGCTCTTGTTCTCATTGTTTGAGATCGGTTTCTACAATTTTTTTGGCGTAGATTAGTGCTAAGAACAACACAATCAATCAAACTTGTAATCTTGCTCAACAGCTGAGACAAACTCTGAGCTTGTTTCAAGTTCCAACTTCCAAGAACGACCAAGGATATATGCTTGGGATCTCAAGTAAGCAACAACATCACGACCATTCAGAAAGTTTTCTGTTGAACAATATAAATCTGAAGTGATGGATCTGCCCTTTTTTAGAAGCAAGAAGTCCATCCAATGTAACAGGCTTAGTGAAGTCAGACCCAGCCAACCACCATAAACCAAGTCTCTGTCTAAGGGTACTTTACTACAGACATAAAAGTAATCATAGTATGAAAACATAGGCCGTGACAGGAGATGGCCACCTATAATACGAGTCAGACGAAGCAGCCACCTATAATGTGAGTCAGACGAAGCATATCATCGGCTTTAGTTTCAGGCCTGACAGATATGATATTTCTGATCAAGTGTTCATATTATAAGGAGTTGACAATTACACAATTATTGTTATAGGAAGGGGTAGCTGCAGCATCTCAGGGGAACCGTAGGATTTGGTTTAAGGAACATCGAGTCGACGGTGTACCTTTACCAGCCTTTTTGATCCTTCACTCTATTTATTTCCTGCTGACCACCATTTAATCTTAGCGTTAGCAACAAACCAGTGCTCTTTTTTCGTCATGATTATGTTAACTTGTAGCTATCATGACACTGCCACGGTCGACACTCAACACCCCTTTTCTCCCAAATGCGGAAAAAACTAGAAATAATCAGCACAGAAATTATGGAGTCACAATCTTTTCTGATTTAACATTTAACAGCCAATGTGGGAACTGATAAGTGACAAATGGCAATGTATCTTTTTGGCATTCCTCCACTGAAATTGAGACACCAGATGTACAGCTTGGTGGTTCTTCACTATTAGGTGACGTCATAGAATGTACTACTTGGCAGGCACCAAACTCCCAGAAACCAAATAATGATAAAAACGAAAATGATTATGCTAAAAGTTAAACCGATGGGTTGGCAGCATCCCTGTTTGATTTCATTGGCCGAAGAATAAAGTGTGGCATCTGAATGAACTAAATGATTCTTTGCATTTGCATGGTAAGTCATAGTTAGTTCTAACTTCTTTTATAGCTGAATGGTCTCTTTCTTGCCTAAACTTATTACATTTTCATTTGATTGATATTAGTATTATAAAGGGAGCAGTTTGGTTTGGATATAATAATTGTGGCTTATTTCTTGAAGTTCTGGATCATGAGTATTCATGACAGTCATATAAGGAATCTTGTTTGAGAAACTACAAGAGCCATTTTATAACATGGAAAAAGTTGTGTCACTTTCCATTTTCTGTCCAAGTATTCGCCAAGATGAACTTAAATTTCCTGCCCTTTTCCTTAAAGGAAGAAACATTTTCTTGCTTAAATACGCCAACTTGTCATGGAGGACACTAGCTGGCTACCCTTTCTTGCAGCTTGTTCTTGTACGAGGGGTAACGCAGCCCAAGCTAGAAGCAAAGAAGTGTGAGGGCTGTTATTGCGTGTGTTTGATTGCAAGAGAGAATGACAGTTTGAAAGCAATACTTGCAAGCAATGTAGAATGAGATACTCAGTCAGGATTTTTTTTTTACAAAAAAAAAAA